CTGCATTATTGTCACTGCTGGGAGGCCGCCCAGGTTGTGAGGAATTGACGGGGCCAGAACCTGGACTCCAAATCTATCTATCTATCTCATTGCCATTCCAAAGCATTGACAGTTTATCTCATCATGGTTACGCTACCATTGTGCTCACTGTACAACAGTTTTGTTTGGCACTCAGTAACCTATAACAGTGGCAAGGAGCAGGTGAGACCCACATAGACTGCTCGGTGGTACTTTATCAACCTGCTTGTTGCTGTCACAGCCACAATTGGATTGTACTCCCTATATGCTGCATCTGCAAAGTCACAACTGATTTGGTCACTTTGGAGCCCAGTTAGGTTTACCCACTGCACTTCCCCATTGATTCCAACCATCAGTACAAATGGTACCTTTATGCGGTGGAGTTAACCTGGATAGTGCTCTCCCCTGGGTGCCTTTATTATCTATTCATCATGTTGTCCCAGTTTATTTCAAGATGAATCTGGGTGCTTCACCACAAATGTAACTACAGATACCTGGTGTGTGTCCAAGGGAGAGAGATTCTGGGATTATAGGATACTCAGCAGAAGTATTTTACCAAGTTGATAAGGAGGTGAAAAATATTCTAAGCAGACAGAAACATTCCAAATTTATGTTTGCGCTCTTTTAGCATTAACGTGTCTTAAAAGTAGTCTTGAATACTAATAAACCCTCTTGATATAGAACTAATTTCCATGGCATCAATTTGTACCACCAGCCAAGGGCAACGTCTGTGCCCAATCTGGTAAACAAATGAACTTTCAAAATGTTGAAATGAAATGTTCTTGGCCTCGTATTCAGCCTCCGAGCAGACTTATTGGACACTCCCTCAAATTTTCTCCCTGCCAATTTGCATTGCTAAGTAGATCCTTTGTGTCACCTGGAGGTTTGAGGAAAGCAGTGTTGCAGCCATTTTCCAGATGGTAATTCAAATGTGTGACATATCCTCAATTCCTAACAAAAAAATGCATGACCACTTCTGCAGACTCCATTAGCTGGGGGGATGTGTATGAGTGCATGCACAAATGGAAAGTGGAAAGTGTCCAGTGGTGTGAATATTCACATCTGCACCTGCTGAATAATACACAATTATCAGGTTAGGTGCTCACCATGCACTCCTGCTCGCATGCTCTCCCCTATTTCCTGGTGCTAATTTTGTCTGGAATACTCAATGGACTTACAAATGCATATTTCTTGTCTCTCAGACCTGATCTCCCCTTGTGTTCTCTCTAAAGAGGGAACATATTCTTCAGTAAGAGCACTGGCTTCAGGGAGTAATGTGTCTGCAATATACACTTTAAAGGGCCTCAGGTCTTGGCAGGTGCTCCTTACATTTCAACAGGACACCTACGGCAGATTCTGTGGCAGCAAGGCCATATATCACCTGTCATTGCCAGAAGCATCTACACTAATGAACAAGTAATAATGGCATATATCTTGAACTTGAGCCTTTAAAGGTAGCTTATCAAGAGTCATTATCATGCCACATAAGCAGATGAGCTTTCTTAAATGAGATCATTTTTGTCACCCTGAAGACTGGAGGGTATAACTGTTCTGGCGCTAATGAGACTCTGTATTAAGGTGTTGTGCGAATGCAAGAGGAATGGTAAATCCCATCTTCTTGTAATTTAATTTTCAAGCTGTTTTCACACATTTGTTCCTAAGGTAGAAATAGGACTGATTTGGACATAAGCATGCATGGGATAAAAAAGGAGTACTTAACGAAGATCCATGCCTCTCAAGATTATGACAGTGTTTGACAATGGGGTGTTATGGAGGGATATGTCATGATGACATCTCTCTGTCACAGAAATGAGCATTACTCCTGGTATCCATTCATCCACCTACCTATCTAGCTTCTACCCCCCCCCCATCTGTCCATCCATCTCAGCTTCAGGTATAGCAATGTTACAGTTAATCCATAATGAGGGATATACATATGAAGCCCAGGCTTTTCTGCATATTTGACAGCATGTGTTTCCATCCTCATGCTGCTACACTGGAGATGTGGAGAATGCTCTGACACATTCAACTGAGGTGTCATTTTTCATGTAAATAGAGGATGGCAGGAAATAGCAATTGTGCTGTTTGTGAAATTAGCCTTGACACACATATACACAAGATCAGCAGCTCAGATCTCCTCCCTAAAAACTCAGGGCTGTTTAAGGACTTTGTGATTAAGTGTTTACTGAAAGTACTCACACAAGAAATGTACGAGTCAGCTCAAAACCAGCTTCCATACAAAGTTACTGTAATATGAAAGTATTAACATTGACTAAAAATGTCCAGTTGAGACATGCTGCACAAGCAACCTGAATGGGCAGTGCACCCTAGCAACCCTATCTCCAGAGCCCAATTCAGCAAACACAAGCTTCAACCTGTCATTCATAAGTGCTGATGTAGCCATGCACTGAGCAGAGCCACTGAGTCCCTAGAGTTGGATATCACCGCTAACTGTCATCCAAGTACTTTGATTACTGGGCTGGAAGAAGAATGATGACTTAGGCCATTCTGTGTCCTGGTCAGACTCTGTAAGCCTGTTCAGGAAAGTGTATCAAGTCCAAGATCCAATTTAGACCTTCATTTTTTTTATGTTTGCTGCTCTTGAATGTAGACTTCTGCTAAAAAAAATCATGTTCATGTCTTAAGTGACTCTCTTAGAAAATGATTGAATTCTTAAAATAAATACAAGTGGAAAAAAATATTTTGAGAGATAAAACACTTTTTGTCCTTGATTGACCAATGATTATATTACTTATAGTGTTGTTTTACTAATATTAGAGAACAAGGTAGCACTTCATTTTCAAACCTTTCCCCATATTGAATTATATTTAATGTCTCATTAATAAATACATAAAATGTCCCCATATCCTTCAATAATTACAACTTACTACTATAAGATGCTATGAACAATTTATTATACATTTACATACTGCTTATTGGGGGTAGTTCAACTAACGTGCTACTGAGATCAATATTAGGAATTTGACATATGGGTGGCACAGCAGTGACAGTGTGCATGCTGTACATTTGACATTCATTGCATGTTAGTCCTCAATAGAGGGATATTTCTTCTTATGGTTTTACTGGGGCTTCATGTGTCTTTCTTTATGTTAAAGAACATTTTGTAAAGTCACAACATTATCATATAGTCACATCATTGGAGTAATGTCTGTGGCCACCTCTTTCATGTCTCAACCAACTCCTGGGAGGGAAATATCTGGCTCTTTAGCTGCTAAATGCGCCACTATGTTCACCAGTTAGTCTCTAACCCTGCCTGCTGTTTTGTGATTAGTAGGCTGTAGAGCTCGTTCATTGAAAACAGCTGTTTGCTACATGTGATGCTATGAGAGTGGCGAGACTCGACCAAAACAGTAACTTTGGAGACCAAACACCTGAACAACGAACTGAAACTCACTATAAAGCTCTGTTTTTCTGTTGGTTCATTACTACAAGCAACACATTTCGCATTGTCACATTATCATTTGATACAGTGTCATTATAAAAAAATATCAATTCGCTGCATTAAGTTAAACAATGCTGCAACATGAAAATATTCTATTACTAGAAAAAGTTCTGCATTGAAAAATCACTGAAACTGAAGTAAAATGAATAAAAAATATGCTTAAAGTACCAAAAAACTAAAGTTCACATAATACAGAACACCAGCCTCTGTTGTTATATACTATATTACTATGAGTGATGCCTTCCTGTGTTTACAACATTTAAACAGTTATATTTTACATGATCATCATATGTTTTGTCTGTAAAATCTTTATCTGTTAAGTGATTACAACTGTCAAATAAATAAAATGTCTTGTTCTGAAGTGTAATGGAGTAAAAGTATGAAGTAACAAAGTAAAAGTCCCTTTAGTTCAGTACTTGAGTAAATGTACCTGGATACATTCCACTACTGAAAAATAAAATAGCTCTATGATAGACCAATGAACTTTACAGAATGTACCCTGCACTACACTACAACTCTGAACTGAACTATTCACACAAATAACAGGAAGTACTGAAAAATGTATTTTCATTTTGAAAGAAAGAGGAGCAAATATTCTTTAACAGGAAGGCTAGAAATATACTTAAAGAGAGCAGTAGAAAGCATAGTATAATCTTTTACATAAAGAGAGCCTCATCATGGTGAGACCACATGAAGGAGATTTTGAATAGCGGAAGAGTTTTCTATGAATGTACTGGAATGTTCCATGTCCTTTTGCACTTGAGATAAAACCAGAGCATGTCTGTGCATAAGGTTCAATTAATTCTTCTAAGAACTGTTTCTTTTTTGAGAGATGAGCCAGTGTTTTCCTTACTGTCAGCTTGGTGCCATGTTTAAGTTGAGACAGGCACAAAAATGTAGCGGCTGACACTAGAAAAACAGTGAATGTCAGGCCGAGATGCTATGTTAAATATCTGAATCATTTTAAATGCAAAACATAACACAAAAGACAGCAGGTGTAGCTAATGGAATAAACGTGGTTTTATACTAAGCGTGATAGTGTCTGTGTGTGTGTTAGGCTATGAGATCATGGCAGATACCTCAACTGATTGAGCTCAAACAACATCCTATCCCCAGCCCTGTCTTTCTCCAGTGGGTGGGGAGCAGGGTGCTATCTGTGGACTTGAAAAATGACAGGACCAGCTGGGGAATGAAATTCAGTAAGACCCGCAGTTGTTCTGAGAGACGTGGACCACGAGCGCCCATAGTAGTGCCCAGTTACAGCTTACTGCAACTCAGCTCTGAAAAACCAAGCCAGGATTCGGTGCGACCGCTGCCAAACATCAGTTCTGGTTCTACGACAACTAACCACTGCAGTGACTCTGGGAGTGATCATGTTCTGTGCACTTTGTTCAAAAACCCAGGAGATCAATCAGCAGCCATTATCCTTAGAAATGCCCTCGGTGCTCCAGATGCTGGTGATTCTGCTGCCTGATGACATCTTGTTATAGCTGACAGGATCAACATTACGGTGAGGACAATGGGCGGGAAGCAGTCTCGCAGTTTGTCCAACAAGGAGCTGAATCAGGTGAGTGTGAATGAAAGGAGGAAGAGTGCTCTGAGAGACGACCAGCCCAGCCTGTCCTCAGCTGCTGAGAGGATCCGCAGACACACCACAGTGCACTTTGGTTACTGTACCCTGAGTCTAGCCATGCGTGGGCTCGATGAGACTCCCGCTGAGCTGTGGGAACTCAGAGAACTTCAGAAGCTAAACTTGTCCATGAACTGCCTGTGCTCTCTGCCCCCTGCCTTGGGTGCTCTGGACAATCTGGTGATCCTCAACCTGTGGGACAACAATCTATCCAGCCTCCCACCTGAGATCGGCCTCCTAAAGAAGCTGCGTGTGCTCTTTGCTTGTCGTAACTGCCTGACTGAGGTGCCTGCGGAGCTGGGCTCTTGCACCCGTCTAGAGGTGCTCAGCCTGGCCAATAACCAAATCACAGGGCTCCCAGGCAGCTTGGCAGCCATGCACAATCTAACCAAACTCAACCTGAGCCACAACCTCATTGTTCACATCCCCACTTGTGTCTACAGCATGAAGAGTCTGGTCTTCCTCCACCTGGCCTGCAACCGCCTGGAGACAATTGCAGACCAGATCCAGGATTTGGTTAACCTGAAGATCCTCATCGTGGAGGGAAACAGCATCCACACCCTGCCAAAGACTTTATGTTTTCTTGAGTCTTTAGAACTCCTGAATGTTGACTTCAATGAGCTGCAGAGTGTGCCAGTGGAAATGTACCTTCTAAGCAGGCTCAGGAGGTTGGCATGTCACCCGCTGGATAAAGGACTTCATATTATCCACAACCCCCTCCTCAAGCCTATTCAGGAGGTGCTGCAAGGAGGACTCGGTGCCCTCTACAGCTACCTCAAACCCACATGAGGTACTACCACTGTTTGTGTTTCATATATGTGTGTGTCTAAAAGAGTGTGATGTCATAGTGTGATGTCACGAAACTGACCCCTGGCACATGGTGGTCATGCTCTGAGTCCCCTGTTACTCCAGATAAAAAGACCATTGCTTGATATTAATATTACAGGGTATATCTGACTGACAAAAATAGTTTTCCTGATTTTTTTATGTAATATAAAAGTTTGGCTATAAATAAAGAACCAGTAACAGCTGTGTCATGTCTGTTAATCCACAGTAAAGGGCTCAGCACAAGTCACTCAGCTTATGCAAAAATTCACAGGTCTACATTTAGGAGCTGGTTTTGTTTGGCCCATGACAGCAAGGGAGCACAGGGGTACGTTCAGCTGCAGATCACCGCTCTCTCTGTTGCATTCAGGTCATGGGGATCAGGTGTGTAAAGTCAGTGGAAAGAATGGTGGAGGGGCGGCTTAAGAGCTGCAATAAATAAATAAATAAATACAATAAAACACCACAGGGACTTAGAGCCTGATTAGATGTTGTTCCACTCCATCAGATCAGAGCGGGGCTGCTGAGAGGCAGTTCCTCTGAGAGGTCGCTGGGTGTTGTCATACCAACAATTTGAAACTAGTAATAGAGAAAACGCTAACAGTGGCTAACAGTGTACACTCAGAGTAGCAGACATACATAATTAAGACGTAGAAAGCTTCTTCTTTTAGTTTGGATAAATTTTTTATATGAAGTTTTGCCAATTTGAGTCATCACTTTATGTAGCGCCACAGATATCATATATAACAAGGAGCAAAAGAAGTTAAACAATTAATTAAAACTATCATGCAGACCCTTTAACTGATGCAATCATTTCCAATAACCTCTGCTATCCTAAGCTGTTTAACAGTAGTTGCAGCTGCTGAAAAATGCACAAAGCTGTAAACGTGTGGTAAAATGGAAAAGCACATTCATGCTCAACAAGTTTTCATGTATAAATAAAACTCTCCCCACAGCCCATTACTGTACATGTATGGGGCTTCTTTTAAAAAATCTGGTACAAGAGTTTTTCTTCTCAACAGATGTAAAGCCAAAGTATCATAGAAGAATATTAATCCTTTCTTCTTCCAACAGCACCCCTCTATAGTCATTTCTTGTGCAGAGGAGGGTTTATTCTGAATGATCAGTGCACTGTTTAGTCTGCTGTTTTCCAAAATAAGAGTTACTTGACAATTGTATTGCAGACATGCACACACTTCTGTTATCACCAGGTTGCCCCTGTAAATAAAACAGTTGGTGTCAACTTGAGTGCGTGAATATTAATGGGCTATACGGTGCATGTATCTGGCCACCTTTTAAAAGGTCATACACGGTCCCAGTAAAAACTAAATGTGCTATGGAACAGACAAAAAAGTGACCTCTGTTGGTATGGACCTATTACTACATTAGTCAAAATGAATGCTGAGCTATCCACCGACTCTGTCTATTCTTACACACACATACACACACACACACACACAGCCCATGCATTCATGATGGATGAATCGCTCCTGAACAAGTCTTTGTCCTACATTGTGATCATGGGACATGCTGTCAAATAAAGCACCTATGAAGATATTGCTTCAGTGTGAGTCAGATGACCTGAATACAGGTATTAGTGTTCTGGTGTTCTGTGGTGTTACTGTTCTACTGATAATACAATATACATTGTTTACTTGTCTCATTTTGATTTTACAGTAAGATATGTTTATATAACAAGAGTTATTAAAACATTAAAATGTATTGAGGAAAAATAAAAAATAAGTCTTATTATTAACCAGTTTTTTGTGATTAGTCATGTACCACACAATTTAACCACTATGACAGTTAATTAAAGGTCGTTTACTGCCTGGAAATCAACCTGATTGCAGTGAACGGCGCTCACTCACTGGTGGTCAGCTGTGCACAGCATGACTGCATTTAGCAGGCTTTGTGGGATTTGTTGATCTTATTTAATTGCTGTGTGCTCCAATAACTTTGTTTTAGAATGAGACACTGTGCAAGTTGTAACAAGTGGGTGGGTGCAGATTGGCACCCGTGTTCTCCATTCAAAGGTACAGGGCATTCATAAGCCAAAGCTCAAAACATAGGTTAATCACAGTGGAATTAAATGACACAAGCACAGATGTCTGGCATTATTCTTATGTTTAACTGATTTGTCCCCTCAGAGACAAATATGGAGGAGAACAGGCCAACAGGTTCTTCCTCTGTCGGTGGTGGCTCTCCATGATAAAATGTCAATGTCACCTATTCAGTAGCTCAAAATATTGTTCAGAAAACAGCAGACTGAAATGGTAGGCCACTGTCAAAACCTTTGAGGCCTAAATATGAAATCTTTTGATCCTGCTGTGGCATAAATTTTGGAGGCACTTCTTTCCCATCCAGTCTGTGTCTTGCTTTGAGAGTGTGATGAAAGTAAGGTTTTGAAAGGTTACTGAGTCAAAAGCAAAAGTGGCAGCCCAACATATTTCTAGTGATGTAACTGGGGCATGGGCTTGTTTTTGCTATCACTACTGGTGATTTAATGCTTTCCTGGGCTGAAGCCCAGGGCATGGAATTACAAAGGGCCTCTCATTGACTATAATACTGTAATAATAATGATAACCATTTGGAGGGTGTAATGTTGGAGAGAATGCCGATAGAATGCTGGGGACAGTCAGGGTGTCTCAGTGGTTGTAAGCACAAGATCATATCCACCCAGCACTGATCTGGGCAAATGGGATATTTCATTACTGGAACTACCTATTGGAACAAAGTGGATTTGGAGACTTCGTGACCTGCTTGTCTTGTTAAGTCTGTTTAATTTTAATGTTTGTTATCCTGGCATTAATATGTTCGAGACCATATATGCACTTTACAGTGCATCTGGTGTGGTCTGTTGTACTGTTTGATGTTGCACTGTTGGAAAGAGAAGTTTGTTTTATTTGAAAGATGTGATGAAGTATAAATGAAGTGAATTAATGTACAGTACATTTGTTTTGGTGAGGCTTGACTTACCAGTGGTAAATCAGTTGCCAACAGACAACGGCCAGGGGTTTATCATCACAGTGATCCCCAGCCAGGCATAGTTCGACAGCTTCCAGTGGTTACTTGGAAAAAATAAAGGAGTTCAGCTAATTTGACATAATATAAATTACCTTTTGATTTTACAAAAAAAAAATGTGTGTTTGGCATTAACCAAACTTGACTTGGACTTTGACTCAGACCTGAACATTGACTGCATTCGGACGCAAAAGTTGGAGTCTTAGACTTGGACTTCGTAAATTATGGACACCGGACACTTTTCACTAGTGTATGTGTGTGTGTGCACTTACGAGTATATTTATTTGACTGTTGTGTCACACAAGGGACTAAATAAACTCCTTCTAAAATGGCGAGAGGTGTGTCAATTGTGTTTAATGTAGACCTTGATAACTTGGTCTCTGGTAGCAGGGACTCAAACACGGTCTCGAGGCTTAGCGACTCAACTACAACACTGAGTATGTGAAGTAGTTAGCAAGCAAGCAGAAAAGTCTAAATAGCTAGCTCAAATATGGATAACTGGTGGAAGCAGATTGTTAAAAGTAACAAATAAGACATCAAGATCGTTAAAGCAGTGAGTTAGATATTGTTTCTGAAAATAGATAAGAAGAAAAGTTGTAATAGATAGTTAGAGGCAATAAAAAAAATGGTCACAATACAGAAGTTAACTAAAAGATAGCTAGCAGGTAACTGTCGCTGAAATATATAAAAATAAAAATGAGGGATAAATGTCTGAAATTGTTACTCTAGCTAAATGTAATGGATAAATGGCTGAAATAGCTAAAAGCAAGTGATAAATGATCAAAATAGTTAGCTACAACTAATGAATAAAAGCTTGAAAGAGAGGGTTAAAAGTAACAGCTAAATGGTTGAAATAGCTAAAAGTAACGGTTGGATGGTTGACTAAAAGCAATGGATACATTTTAATGGATCAGCAGTCGAAGGACATTAATGTGTGATATTTGTTGAACATGACTCAGGGGCCGTGCTTACAGAGAGCCACCCTTCTATCACACACTCACAAACACACGCTCACTCACTGCGTCTGTGAGTGCAAACAATGAAGTCATCCATTCATTCCTCCATCCAATCAGAGGAGTTACATTTTCACCAAGTCCCACGACAGCTCTGCTCAGGCTGGTATTCATGCGTTCCTGGCAACATAACCATTGAAGCCATGACAATGCCTAAAGACCACAAAGAGACATGTGGCTCTGTCTATGAAATGCTCCAGGCATTGTTTGTGTACTTGTATAGAAAAACAACAACTGGAGCCATATATCCTTGACAACAGGAGGTCGTTTTGAAACTAAATGCAAACCCACGTCAGTCTCCCCACATTTTAATTAGCCATGAAAACTGCTGGTACAAGTGAAATTGCCATGTGTGTTTATGCATGCAAAAACAATAAGGGAATGACATTGGCTGACTTTGTCATTAGCTGCTAGTCCAGCTCTGTGTTTGGATATCCTGCATCTGCTTGCACTTGCTGTCTCAGATAAGACTAATTTTGAACAAATATTTGCATATATTAAAGTCAGGCATCATTATTGATTCATCCAAAGAGGAAGAAACATAATGGCGCTGTCCTGTTTGGGTCAGTCTGGGTTTCTCTTTAACAGGATTAGTGTGTGAATTTGATCAGAAAGGACACACAAGGTGAAGTATGATTAAGAACCCAGCAGGCAATGATTTTAAGTTTATGAGTTACATTAGGTGAATAAATTAAGATGTCAAGTTGAACATGAATAAAGCTGATATGGCGTATTTAGTGCAGGATATGAGCTGTCATATGGCAAAAATGAATTTGCCAATGATGATCAATTGTCTATGTGGGCTAGGAAACAACAATTGAAGAGAAATCTCGCCGTCGTCTGCTGGGTGCCATTTCATAACTACTGTGGAACTTCATGTCATATCACATAATCTTCAACAGCAGGTGGTGGTTAATAGTTTTATCGTTA